CTGTTCGGCTGGGGTTCTTCCTCACTGAGAGCCTGGGCTGACCAAGCCACTGAAGCCTGCTAGGGTTCATGCTGCTCCATCCTCACAATGCCTGCAGACCCACATGGTCCCCAGGTCAGCACTCTACGGCAAAGGTAACCACTGTAAAGTATGCTGCACTTGCACAGCCTCTTTCTCAAAGGAGCTCAAAGTCTTTTGTGGGGGGAGGTGGGGAGGAGACAGACAGACAGATATTCACTCTGGCCTTCCAAACCTATCACGCAAGGACAAGCACGTGCCAGACATTCATCCTTACAACAGCCCACAGAAAAGAGGCATGGCTCGTCATGCCAAGGGGGAGGGGACCAGACCAGAATGGGCAGTGACTTGTTCAAAGTCATAGCATGTCTGCAGTACAGCTGGGACTTGGGACTAGGGCTCTGCATCATCCCCCCTCCCCTGCAGAACTTTGTCAGGATCACCAGCAGATGAAGCCAGAGGTGAGTGGGCCGACTCCCTTCCTTCCTTCCTTTTTTTTTTTTTTTGGAACGAAAGATTCATTACTTTTCTTCATTGCAGGCAAAGCTTCACATCTCTTCCCTTGATGATTGTCATGGCAAGCTGACAGCTGTCTCAGCACCCCGAGGAAGGGGGCGATATGATGATGGCTTGCTTGGATAGGCACTCATCAGTGAACAGAACCTTTCTTGGGAAGGTTGGGACTGGCTTGAACTGTTGAACTGTTCCACTTTTTTTTTTAAGGTCACTTGGGAAGTAAGACACATACTCTTAATTTTAGGAAAATAAAGTGTACAGCATAACTTCATTATTTCCCTGTCACTGGAGAACTGCAGAGCTTTATAACATGTTCACACGACACCCCGAGGGAGCCTCTTTTCTGTTTTATAGGACATTCTATTCTGTTTGTCTGGGAATGAATTGTTCTGTATTGTTTTCTGCTACCTTTAGGGAGTGTGTACATAAGAAAACCTATAATGTAAGCAGAATCATCTCTCCTGGGCCCGTCATCCATTTGTGGTGATGGACCCAAAGAGGGACAGGAACCAACACAATCATTTGATTTTTCTTTTCATTCTCAAAGACTGAAGACTCCATGGCTAAAGAGACGAGAGTGAGAAAGGTACCATAAGACTGACCAAAGTCCCTCTTATCCCAAGTGTAAAGACGAGATTTCCATCCAGCCAGAATGTGATGGAACACCAGGTTCGAGTGTGGGAAAGTGAGGAGACGATCTCTTGGCTTACCAACGGAGCAGTCGGGACCCATCCAGTTCGGATCACAGCTGCAGAGGCCAGAGTCAGGGAGGTAAGTGCCATGCCCACTGCACTGGTCTGGACACTGGACTCTTGCCAGCTCACAGTTGAGACCACCCCAGCCAGGACTGCATAGACACTCTCCATTCACACAGACACCATGGCTGGAGCAGGTGGGATCCAAGCAGTCAACTGAAACAAGAGAAGAAGCACTAATCAGTCATGAAGAATGGGCCACTAAGGCCCTGACCCCTACCCACATAGCAAATGAAAGCACCTACACATTACTCATGTGGTCTCTTGACAGCCATAAAAAAGGAATTTTATATGTTACCAAATCTCAAAATGTAAAGAAGATACAAGATACACAAGGGAATTCCTCAGGTGCAGTTAACAAGAGTCAGCTGTAGCTTCTTCACAGATCGAAAGGTACACCATCATACTTTTCTAATGCTGTACTTTCCAACCTTCAACCTTGACTGATCCACAGCAGGATCAGGAAAGACATGTGGTGTATTCTGCATGTATGGCCAAGCCTGATTACCCTCCCTCTAAGAGAAGAAAGCTGAGAGGCTCATTCTACTCTCCCAAGTCCTTGATTTCAAAATGAGAACGAAAGATTAAAAAGAAAACCTATGAAACTCTTAAATAAGAGTCACTTTCCTAATTGTTTCACTTAGGCTGAGTCTAAAATTAGTTTTCCTCTCTGAGCATACACCTATTGAGGGAATTAGTGAGGCTGCAAGGTGTAAGAGGTGAAGTTGGGTGTGCAGCCTTTCTACAGGTGGTTCTGAGTGGTGTGGATGAGCCAGTGTTATCAGCCATGACAATGGCCCTCCCCAAGACTGTCTACTGGGCAAGTTAACAGCAGATTCCATGTATTATTGTCCCTGTGTGTATTATGGTCTTATTCCTTGGGTGTTCTCAAGATCTGAGTAGCTATACATTAGATGAAATTTGAAAGTAATCACTCCAGAATCAAGTCAAAGCAAGGGCAAGCTGCTAGGGCAGTTAGTAAGGATAGGGACTTTAATATGGGGATGTGATCTCAAAGCTTACATCTCTATCAGTCTTAATGCTAAGACAGACTAGCATTTCGACAGACAGACTGGCTTCCTTGGAAGGTTCCCATGTCATGTGGAGAAGAGCACACACTAGCATATGGGCTAGGATGGGCAACGGGACTTTTGCAGAGGTCTCAGTTGTTGGCTTGTGGGCCAGAAAAGTATGAAACTATTGTCTTCTTATTTGAGAGAGACAGTCTTTTCTAGGATTTGAAATCAGGCCTACTGGCCCACACTGGAGTGCCACTACTGTCATTTCCTAGAGATAAGACACAGATAACTGGAGACTAATTAATTCTTCACTTGTAACTTTTTGGGGCCATTCTGTCAATAATTCAATCTCCATGTGTACTTGTGCTGCTTTGTGGTTTGGATCCTCAGAGGGCAGCTTGTCATCCCTTCTTGTCTAATGTCAAGATGGAAATTTGCAAGACTTTTGGTCCCTTGGTCATGAGATGGTCACTCTAGATAGGAGCTCTTGCCCTATTTTTCATGTAGGGTTCATGTTCTCTCTCTCTCTCTCTCTCTCTCTCTCTCTCTTTCTCTCTATCTCTCTCTCCGTCCTTCCTTCCTTCCTTCCTTCCTTCCTTCCTTCCTTCTGTCTTTCTTTCTCTCTTTCTTAAGCACAAAAATGATGGTTCTATAAGTTTTAACATTGATAATACATTGACTCTAAATATGACATCATTTAAAGTATCTGTGTCATAAACTCTATAGTCCTGAGGGAGTCAGACCAGAGGACTATGAATTTACTAGAAATCACAATGCTCCGCAAAGCTCTCAAAGAAGATCCCTCTCTTGAGGCAAAACCAATTTTCAGCATTAAGAAAATTCCATTTGGATATTCTCAGGAAGATATCATTTATGGAAACCACTTCCAAATTGTTTGAGCCATGGGGAAAACAGTGGCTTTTTCTTAACCCAGAAAGGTGAATTTTAGTGATTTAGTATTAGTTACAGATGTTCATAATATTATTTAAAATTGTTATAGTTGCTTTAGATGGAATCTATACGGTTGGGGGTATTGAACTCTGGGTGAAGCAAACCCTTTGATACCTTCAAATTGGCTCTGCACAAGGGGATGGAGCACATCTGTATATAAGTTTGAAATGAAGTTTAAACACATAAAAGATATTTATGAAGGAGTTAGTTACAGTGTGTCTTACCTGGCATGTGTGAGAGTGCATAGGGGGATGTGTTTACAACTTAAGTAGGAACAAATGATAGACTGCTATAAGAATTTGTCATTAGCAAAGTAGATGTCCAGGGCCGATTAGAAAGAGATATGGTGCCTCTCTCTCTCTCTCTCTTTCTCCTTCCTCATATTTTTGCTTGTGAGCCTAGCCTTCAATGACTAAGCCATCTCTCTAGCCAATTCCTCCCTTCTTAACACAGGGTCTTGCTATATATATCACAAGCAGGCCTAGAACTCATTATATAGCTCAGGATAGCCTTATACTTGTGATCCTTCTGTTTAAGCCTCCCAAGTCCTGGCACTTCTGGTGTGTACCACCATATCTAGCTGGTCTTATTTTTGGTTTTGGAAATAATATGTTTTTAGCATAGGAAATATATGAACTTAATTATCAAGAACCACTAATGTTCATATTCTTCTCGTACAAGAAACCTTGCAGTTTAGTTTCAAAAACTGACTTCCCCATTTCTAATAAGGCAAAACCAAAGTACCCATAAAAATACATTGTGTATTATTGCCTAAAAATGCTCTCAGTCTATAATTAGCCATTTAACCAGTTTGGTGAAGTATCAACAGATGAAATATTTTAAAAATGGATCATAATCTTTTCCTTAAGAGGATGAAATAAAAACATAAGATAATAAGAGAATTCAAGAGATAAAGAAAGTAGATACACACACACACACAGACACAGAGAGAGAGAGAGAGAGAGAGAGAGAGATTTTTGTGCCAGCTATAATTCGTCCTGAATTATGGTAAGAAGAAAGGAGGAGAATCCACTGAGATTTATTGCCCTGGTAGTAGAATGTCATCAAAAGGCCATTTATAGTAGCTAGAAATACGAGCCAACATTTTCTCTGGTCTGTGGTATCAGTAAATATGCCCTTGGTGCCCTGTAATTACAGTGGCTGATGGAATAACCAAATTCAAATTTTAAGAGGAATGGTTTTACAATGAATTTTAAATTTGTTTCCAATTCCATAAGATGGTCTTTAGGCCATGTTTTTAGAGTCTTTAACAGGCAGGAGAGACTCTGTGGTTTTATGAAGCTTTATAAATAGAAACAGTTGTACTTAGGAGGACATTGGTCTTGCTCAGTTAAATGCCCTGTCCCTAGAAACACCAGTTCCTGAAGGCTGAAATCATTAGAACTCATTTGATCTGGGGTCCTCTCTAGATTTGACAAAAAGGGTTGTGAATGCAGTTTCTATCCCCAAGGATGGAAAAGGAGGTCAAAGGAGTTTGTTTTTTTTTTTTTCAAACAATATGTACTATGAACCCCCAAAGAACCATGAATTACATTTATGAAGCTAAATGTCATTGAAAAATGACTCAACCATGAAACTGACATGAAAACATGGCCGACTTAAACTAACCTGTCAGTTCCCCTCTCGTCTCTCTCCCACCTCCCCAGATATCATCACTCTGTATCTCAAAAGACATCCTTTCATTTTCTTGCACAGATTTGTTAGGACTACAACAATGTTTATGCAGCAAAAACAGAGGATGATAACTATTGATTTCATTGCCATTGCCATTTCAGGTAAAGCATTCGAACGTTATGACTGTGACAAATATCAGAAACAAAAGAGCTAAGTGGAAGAAAAAGTGCTGACTCAGGCATTCTGATTCCATTTCCTCTTTTGAAAACAGTGTATGCATCACCTCTGTTCATCCTTTTTGGGTAGCAGAGATCAATAGGGGAGATCTTGTCCTTCTACAACACTCCACGTGGCTTACTTGTTTCATTGAATGGTTGATTTGCTCTGAACATTTACATAAGACTGTCTGGGAGAGTAAGAAAGTCAAGGAACTACTTGACATTCCACTCAAACATCATCTTTCCTGGAGAGAAAAAAAAAATCGGAAGACTGGCAATGCCTTGTCCCTGTACTTTGCTACTGCCCAGCAGTATATGCAGAAGATTGTTTTAACCTTTCCTGTCATATTATTGACCTCTCCTATGTTTTCAGCAAATGCAGCTTTGCCTCCTGTAATCCATTCATGTTCAGGAACTTTAACCTTTCCAGCAGGGTTATTAAATCAGGATTTCCTTCATCCCAACTCCCAATTTGGTTTTATGATTAAAAAAAATATATAGGGAGGTTACCACTGGCAGTAGAGGGGAAATGTATAGTGAATGGAGCAAGGGGAGATCTGGGGGTCAGACTGCTGGGTGACATTAAGGGTATTATTAGTGATATATTGAAAAATTGTAGAAGAACGATGTCATAGAAGCTGACTCTTTCAAGGCCATGGTTGTAGACACAATGAAATGGCGGATTTTATAAAGGAAGTCTATAGGGTGTATCTGAGAATAAGGCACTGTCATGACTGCGGTGGTTAAGGTTATATCAAGTCACAGGCACATATATAACTTTATTCCCTGATTCGCTGTAGGTGGGGTCTCAAAATGACCCACATATGTACAGTCTTTCAAGCCTGCCTGCTCTCCAAGGACAGGAGGTTTTGTTGAACTATTTACAGAGATATGCATGGGCCTACGAATACCAAGAAGAAAGAAACCAAATCATAGCAACATCAAGAAGCCAGCTTGGAGGGTGAGAGGTGGGTGGAGGCTTAGGAGTCCTTGTTTTTTTTCTCTAGATAGTCCCAGAAATTCTCAGTTAGAGGACATTAAGTGAAACATACAAAAAGAGGGAGTTAGATCTGGAGATAGATCTGGGGCCTAGCAAGATAACACAGCAGGTAAAGCTGCTTATTAACAAGGCCAAGGGCATAAGTTCAAGCCCCAGAGCCCACATGGTAAGTGAAGAGAACCAACTCCTGCAAGCTGTACTCCTACCACCACATGTATGTTGTGTGCATGTGTGGGAGAGCAAGTGTGCACACATTCGTGCACACACACACACACACACACACACACACACACAAATAAATAAGTTTTTTTCCAAAAGATCTGGAGAAGAGAGGAAGGCAAGGAGGAAAAGGGAAAGATAGTACAGGCAGACAGACAGACAGAGAACAATCAAAAGAGAAAACACAGGAGGAAGAGAAAAGTAGCTAATGTCTGTAAAGCAGAGTAAAACAAAATATTCCTTCCAAAACCATCTCCATATGCCTTTCCTAGTCTCCAACTAATGAAGTTTACTAAAGCTCAGGGGTTTGAAGTTTTGGGTGCAAAAGTTTTCTTTGCAATGCAGGGAACCCAGTCTGGGGTTCTCCGGTCAAGGTCAATCCTGTATAGTTGTCCAGCAGCTGACCTGCTATCTCTCTGTGCTTACCTTCCTCACAGTGCTCCCCCTTGTAGCCAGCAGCACACACGCAGTTGCCATCAATGCAGGAGCCGTGGCCCCCACAGGAAGGATCAATGCACTGGTTCATAGGCACCTCACACTCTGCCCCCTTCCAGCCACTGTAGCACTGGCATGTTCCTTTGGAATACTGTCCATTCCCACTGCACAGGACGGGGCAGGCAGCTGGAAAGCCAATGAGAGAACACCAGGTCACAGGAGATCGACATCTGAAGGACTGTGTCTGTCTGGCACCATGCTTTGCATACAACCTTGTAGGCTGAGGACTTAGCCACAGAGGTGCCCAGTCACCTTCAAGTACAAACCAATAAGCATAGCATTGCTGTCGGTGGCTCCTGGTCATGCATGGCTAGGCACAGCAGAGGATGCTTTGTGCCCTCCCTGACTGAATGACCAGAACCACCCTGCGAGGGGCAGCTATGATCAGGATTCCACCATCTTCTGGTGATCTTATCTCAAGGCTCACAAGCAGGGACCCAGGCTAATATACTCTACAGCTATGCTCTTAAGGAAGCCATTCTGTTACAGATGCTGCTGGCACTGGCTGGAGGGGGGGGAGTCTGGGTGTATTTTACTCATTGTTTTATTCTCAGATAATTTGACTCCTGTTCTGGACACATTTGAGTCAATGAATCTCACTCTTCCTCAGTTTATTACCGATACCATTAAGAAACAAGTGTATCTATTTCAAAGGAGAACACACACATGTTTCTCTGGCTGCCCTGGTTATGATACAGGCCTTCAGGAAGAGACCTTCAGATATGACCCATGCAGATGTTTCAGTGGCTATTGATGGTGTGACTTTTGACTCCAGGTTCTGAGAATTCTTCATGGATATGTGGCACATACATACAAAATCAGGGAACTACACCATTCCATGAGCAGATTGTGCAGTCAGTCAGATCACTATTTACTCCGTGGCCCATCCTGTTTTGCTCATCCCTTTACACAACCTGTGGTTGTGGTACAGTCATTAACTTCCCTCTGTGAGTGTCTGACTTTCTGGGGACATGGTGACCTTCTGGAAGATAGGCACAGTGCTTATCAAAGATGACTTCCTGTCACTTTGAGTTCTATAATGCTGACTGGCTTGGGTAAAAATGTCTGCATTCTTGATATCCAAGGGTTTATGGGAAAGCACCAAGGAGTATTTATGAAAGACAGGGAAGGAACAATGCCTCAAATAGACTTCACGTTGCAAATACAATGAATTTCCCCCTCAATTTCAAACTGATTTGAAATAAAATATCTGAATAGTTGGCATATGATTGATGACATATTATCTTCCCAAATACTTTATAAGAGGACACTTGTGGAAAGTGTTGGGGATATTATTTTCAAAATTCTTATCCTTATGAAGTATCTAGAGAGGAATGAGTTCAAATGACATCAAAGAGGCACACTGAATTCAGATAAACCTTTCTAAGTGGAGGGTGTGTGCTTCTAACACTTAGAATGTTAAGGCTGGGATCCTGTGGTTACTAGAGATACTGATTGTCTTGGAGAGGGTGGAGGGAAGAGCTTGGGACCCCAAATACGGAATGTGCAAGTGTGAACTAGCAAGAGTAATGATAAACTTTCTTGAGGTCTTGAGAGAGATTTGGAGACAAATGAAGTTTGCTCCACATCAGTTCATCAAAGGATTCATGCTAAGCTCAAGGTTATGATCCCCTCTTTTCTGACTCTGCAGGCATCATTAATGGATCATGCTAAGCTCAAAGTGAGGGAGGCAGATTATGATCCCCTCTTTTCTAACTCTGAAGACATCATTAATGGATCATGGCATCTTCTCCTGAGCCTAGAAAGAACCTGAAAACCATCCTAATGCGAGGCTAAGACCTGCAAGGAGGGAGAGCTGGCATCTAAGAGAAAACCTCCCTGTCCTTTCTGATCTGGGTCACACGGAAAGATCTCCATAAGGAAGACTAGAATATGCATCATTTCTCACCCCACTTCCACCCTCATACCCGAAATAAGCAACAGTGAGAAATGCATCTAGACAATGTACAGCCTTCCAAGATGGTTTCTGACCCGCATACTACATATTGTCTGGGCTCCCTGATGCAAGACAAGACCTCAAATCCCCACCACCATGTCCCATTGCATCTTTTTTACTTCCATAAGGTAGGGGAGGAAGCAAATGGTTACTGTCTATATTAGCTGATAAAAGGAAGGGTGATTTTCTTCTTTTCTTTTGTACAGACTCCAAGTGGTGGGGAAAAATAGAATTGTCTAGAAAATAAGAGTTGGTTTTTATATAAAATCAGATGCCTGGGAAATCAAGTTTAAAATGTGACCTACTTAAATTACTCAGGGAAAAAGTGGAAATGAGTCAGGTCATGGTGTTCCTAAATGTAGCCCTTTCTTAATTTGTTTGATGTAAGCTTGCTGGGACCAGAGTCAGAGATGCAAGATGCTGATGTTTGCTGGAAAGCAGGGCATTTGAGGGGCTTGACTGCTGCAACATCGAAAAGCCCCCAAAGGGGCTAATTGGAAGAGTGGAACTTAAGGAATTCACTGCTACTGAAACCAAGAATAAAGCCTGCCAGTGGTCATTGGGTTTGTAACATGGAAAGCCACGAACCCTTCCTGCAATAGATTCTCAGACACAATTCATCCCAGAGCCCCAAAATAAATGTGTGGCTCAGATTTGTCCACACTGGAGAAGCTGATTGGGAACTAGGAACCTCTTGTGTGGATAACTACTTGTATTTAATTTTGTGTGTGATCACACAATGATCATTATCTTTTAAGACAGAACAGAAAAAAAATTATTTGGACTCCACATCCCACCAAGAAGCATCACAGCGTAGAAGTGAAAAGGACAAAGATTCTGGTGTCAGAAAGCCCCAGGTTCAGCAGCTAGTCCTCATGTGTCAGCTGTGGGATTTGAAAAGGGTGACTAAACTTCTTGGGTATTCAATATCCTCTTTAAAAACCTGTCTCTCAAGAGTGCCTGGGAGGGGGGAAATGACATAACATGACCAAGGAATCAACATAGGAGCTGACACCTGCTAGACAAGTAATGAATGTGCTTGTGATCTTTCAAACTGGATTCCCAACCTGCCTGGAGGGATTGATATGATTTAAAAAAAAAAAGCCACAGTTCTCATACATGTGCCTTACATGCACATGTATGCAAACATACTGCCCCCATAACAAAAAGAGTGCCAGGGAGCCCCAGCGGAAATGGGTCAGCTTCCTCTGTGGTCCTCTCTGGGTGTGGGTGGAAGCCAGTCCTGACTGGTTAGGAACCATACGTGAGATGTTTTGTCTTCCTGCTTCTCTCTTTCTCTCCTTTATTCCACAGCCTTCCAGGAATAGAACATTGTGCATTCAAGCTTCTATTTAAAATTAATTAAAATGTGTGTACAAATTGACTATTCCTGTTTTACTAAATCTAGTAAATGGAAGCTTTAAGACTCCCGCAGAAGAAAAATAAATTACTGCTGCCACTAGGAACAGACAAGTTAACAGGCTGATGACAAAAAAATGACACAATTTAGATTCACCTAAATGGTGTAAAGCTCATTTTAATGATCAAGCTGGAGTTTCCCCTTCCCAGCTTCTCTGTAAGGGAGGAGATGAATTATCAGTGTTATTTACTTGGTAGGCAGTTACAGGACCAACCACTCATTGGTGTTTTAAGGAAAACAAATCCTGTCTACCTGCCACTTTCAGTAGAGAGAGTACTCAGAGGGAATGGAAGGGTTGTGGGGGAGGCTTAATACAATGGCAGTGGCAAAATGGCTATAGTTTGACAAGTCATCGGGGAGCTGGATTTGTTGTGAAGAGGCACTCTCAAACAATGCACTTTAAGAAGTGATTTGAAAGGTGGCTTTTAAATTTTTTATTAATTGATTTATTTCACAGAAAGAGAGTCTCTCATCTGTAACCCAGGTTAGCCTAGAGCTTCTGTGTAACCCAGGCTTGCCCCAAACTTGTGGCCTTCTGACTCAGCTTCCTCTCAGCTTCCTGAGAGCTGGGATTACAGGTGTGAGGCAGGACTGGTGCTATACACCCACTTGCAGTAAGGGTGGTAATTTGGCAGAAAGCTCCATGGTGGGTGAGAGACAAATAAGCCATGCAGGCAGAACTCATGGGGCAGGGTAGGGGTGGGGTTATTGGGAGAAAGGAAGGGAGTGATGAAAGGGAAGAGTGTGGGGGGGGGGAGCTGCCTGCTTCCTCAGAAAAACAGCAGAAAGAGAAAGTAGGCAGAGCTTGTCTCTTAAAGGGACCTTTTGTGCCTGCATACAGAGACAGGGTACCACTTGCCATGCCTGGAGGGTTGATGCACTCTGCCAGGTTTCCCAAGGGGTGGGGCCAAGGTGTGCCTGGACGCTAACAGCTACACCTTTAGAAAAGAGACTTGAGACTACACTGGATCCTACCTCCCCAGGGAAATGGTCAAAATTGCAGTGTGTGCTGAATGCCTTCACTTCTAGCAAGTCAGCAACTATGGACAGGTAACCCAGTACTGTAAAAAGACAGGCTTAGTGGCAGGAAAAAAAAAAAGACTGGAGGGAGAAGCTTCCTCCACTCTCCAGAGCAATCAACAATATAACATTAGGGTCATGGAGGCCAAGCAAAGTGAGGCTCCCCAAACAAAACTGGTTTTCTCCTTCAAGAAGAAGAAAAAAAATGGTGTTAGGAAAGACGGGTTTTACTTCAACATCCCTGTAAATGGCATTTCATTTGTTGCACAACCAAGTTGGCCCTATTGTACCCTATAAAAAAAAAACTTGGTACAGTGTAAAGAGTGAAGTATTAGAAAACATTGGAGAGTAATTTTATTTTCTTCAGGATGTATGAAAGATATACATCCCAGAAACCATGAGGGAAGGGTGATTAGGTTTGATGGCACAACATTTAAATCTATTTGATAGTGGATAATGGCCTAAAACTAAACCAGGTCATAAGCAGTATCGGGAGGACAGATCTTAATGTGTTTTACAGAACAAAATTTACTATTTAACACGTATAAGGAACTTAATAAAAAAATACAAGAGACAGACAAATGGAAAAGTCGGCAAAGTTTGCATCAGAAATAATACAGCTTGCCAATATAAGATATATTCAGGCTCTTTAACAATTACCTAGAAATATAAATACTATTAAGATGCAATTTTAGGCTTCCCAGACTGGAAGTAAAATTAAAAAGCTGT